ACACACACACACACACACACACACACACACACACACACACACACACGCACACACGATGGCACTGAAATAATGTGACCTGGAACACATGAAAAGGGAGCACCACACTCTCAGGGGAGCTCTAGCGAGGCAGAAAGACTTTCAATCTGGGAGAAATTATTTCGTGAACAATTTTCACACAGCACAAAGAGAAAGGATTTATTAGAAAATAAAGCGAGCTAATTGGTGTTGTTCCACACTCGATCTACGGCAGAAAACCGAAGCCGTCGTGTTATTTGTGTCTACTGCCTCGAGCCATAAAGCATCACCTGTGAGGCTGTGGGTTGGGAAGGTGTTCTCAGATGCTACCGACCTCAGTGCTGTCCAGGAGAGGGACATGATTTGCAACCTGGGACACCACCAAACGAATCCATCTGACCTGAGGGTAGCGAGGCCTCTACTTGGCCTTGCTCTGTTCCCTTATAAATATCTGTTTCAGCTGCTGCCATCAGCATTGAAAAGAAAGTAGAAAGTAGGCATTTCTCCTAAAACATGATATATGCATTCTTAATCAACCAAGTCTTAATAATCTAATGCTACTGGTGGCAAAGTGTCACGCACATGGGTGGATTTAAGAACAGAGAGTTATTTTCACACAGTTCAAGAGGGTGAATGTATGAATCAGAGTTTGACCCATGTCAGTTCCCTTTGTGGGCTTCTCTGGCTTCTCCCTTAGTTTCTGGTGATGACTGGACATTCTTGGCATTTCTATCCTCATAAGTGATCTTCACATGGCACCTGTCTTCCCGCTGTCTCTTCTGTTCTATAAAAGGTTTAGGACCCACCCTACTCTGGTATGACCTCAGCCAGGGGCCAGAACTTTAAATATATATATATATATACCATTTAATTCGCAATACCCATAACTTCAATATATATATATATATATATAAAACCATTTAATTCGCAATACCCATACCTCATGTTCTACAGAATTACACAATGAAAGTAACATGGCTTCTGGGAGGAAAATAGTGTTAAAAGCAGATTATTCTAAATCTATGTGGCATCTTCATCAGTCTACTAACACAAGTGATAGTTGGTATCATAGGAGATAACTTGGACAGCCAAGGCAGAAAACTTAATAGGGTCAGAAACTGCTTCAGGAGATATTTAAAATGCACCAAATCATATGTGGAAACTCTGGGCTGTGGATTCTGTGAGCAGTAGGAGTGCAGTGAAAGGGGCTGCAGGAGGCTGTGCGACCTGCCTCACCTGAAGGTTGGGATGTTCTTCTCTGGGGGACGAGCCCCCAGTGCAGGTTGAAAAGACTCAAGATTTAAAAACTGGAGCTAAAAACAGATCTGTGGGTTTTTCCTTTCCTGTCAAAGTTGTCGTTGTACTCAATGTTTTAGCTCTCTGCGCCTTGAAACACATGATAAGATGAATGAAACCTCTGTGTTATACTGCCGTCATCCCCGTCTCCAACCACTTGTGAGCCCATCGGTATAGAGGACCACACACTGCCGCAGACAGACAGTCTGACACATCAAGGGTAGACACGGCTGTCTCTTAGGCACCTTTCCATTGTGCCAGAGGCCAGTGAGGACGACAAGCCATGGTGAATCCTTATGGGACACATTCTCTGTGCCTAACGATATACAAATGATATCTCATCCAATCCCTACAACAACAGTATTTATTACTATTTTCATATATGGGGAAACAGAAGCTTAAATGGGTTAAGTCACTGCTAGGAAGAGAGAGAATCAAGTTTCAAAGGCAGAGGGCTCATCTTGCAAGTCCCTCCTCTTAAACAGACTCCATAGCTCCTAGATAAAATCCTATGGCAGAAGGCATGATTGAATCCCTTCCCTGATCATCACCTGTCCCTACCTCCTTTCCTGAAAACAAGGGCTTTCAGGCTCTGCTACCCAGCACAGAGGGCACCAAGTCTGGAAACACAGAGTGCCCTGTGCGGTACCCAGACAGGAACGGTTTCTCTGTTTTTTCATTTCTGTCTCCTCAAATACTGACGGGACTGTAAGGCCCCGATCCTCAAAGATCAGATGCTGAGCTCCCCGGGAGCAGTTAATAACTAATTGCTCATGACGCTGAAAACCAGGTCTAAAGCAAAATTATAATGTATCTGAGTACATTCTAATTTTAAATTAAATATGCCTACATCCTACTTTGAATTTCAATTAGTCACAAACTAATATAGTGACAAGATTTGTAAAGCATTCCAAAATTGAAGACATCACCCAACCCACCCAAAAAGTTTTTCCCCCTCTCTGTTACACATAAAAGGAGAAGACATTTTTGTTGTTTTTAACACAATGAGAACTTGATATACGCTGTCTGGTTTACTACCCACTGTGGGTGGGAGTACAGAGCCCAATCGTTCTCCCTCAGAGCTGCTGTGGGTTTGAACTGCCAACCATGAGGACAATAGCCCAACTTGTAACCACTACACCACTGACCTTCTCTAAATTTCTTCCACGGTTTTTTAAAAGGCATGGCTTCTCATCCCTTCCCACCGTGGTCCTCTGTTTGCTACTCCTATGGATACGTCTCTTCACAAGGAGAAAGCAGAAGGCG